AAGAACATTCTTCTCGGTCTGATAGTGTTATACAGGGGCGGATCCAGAGACTTACGTGTAACAAATAGAAGCGTCGGTCAAGGTTCAAAAGTTTCCAATTTAGCAAGAGGGCGCCATTCATGCGCTATTATACCAAAGAGAAAAAGTAATCAGTTTTGGAAGAGGGCGTCCTATCTGTTGTCATGGATTTGAGATGGTTCCTGTTCTGCTGTTCAGAGGATAGCGGTCAAGGGTCAAAAGTTTCCAATTTAGCAAGAGGGCGCCATTCATGCCTTATTACAGAATTTGCACGCGTAAATCGCGGAGAACGCTATCTTGTGTTTATAAGATCTTTGGTTGGTAGCAATTGCATGGTGGCGCCCTCTGAATGTTTCTAATAGAGTTCCTATACTCTAGTTTCTAACTCGCAGCCTTGTGGCAAGTCTAAAGGTGATGGTGTAGACCTCAGTAGGCTTACAACAAGCAGGCTTGGCCGAGGCTGCGTACTAAACGCTGTTTTTACTAAAGAAAATGTACATCTGTATATTTTATGGCAAAATAATATATCGGATGATAGTTATTAGTGTATTATAAATATTTAATATAAATATTGATTTGGTAATGTTGTGAATTGCTTTTTATAGTATTCTTGGATTTGAATTATTCCTGCTAGCTATTAAAGTCAGGCTCCGGATGAAAAAAATGTTTTTGATATGTTGTAGAACTGATTTTTCTAAGACAGAAAAAAAGTAGTTTGATCAAAAACTGAGCAACGGTGAATGAGATACAGATTTTTTAATATTTAAAAACTGGGGGGTAAAGGTGTAAAAATGGGTGGTTACGCCCCTTTTCCCCCAGTTTTTAAATATTCAAAAATCTGTATCTCGTTCACCGTTCCCCAGCTTTTCATCAAACAACTTTTTTCTGTCTTAGAAAAATCAGTTCTACAACATATCAAAACATTTTTTTTCTCCAGAGTCTGACTTTAAAACATTGATAATAATGTATGTAGACCCATTACTGGTGTAAATAAATGTTCTGATATATGATTATTCAATGTATTTAGGTATTATCATTAAAATTATTATTATTCTCATCATACTCATCATAATCATCATCAACCATCATCATTATTAATACTTAAGAAAACCTGTTGGTGTTTGTTTCATAAACAGTATTACAGGTAAAAAAAGGAATGATTACTAGATAAATACATAACAATAAATACAGTAATTGATAGGCAATTCACATCAAACATCAGCTTTATTATAAATATAACAAGTTGCATCTTTACAAATCATGCAAATTTTAAACCATTAATGTATTTATTATATTATTATTATTATATAACTTTTTTTTATGTACAATTCATTAGCATTGCTTTAAAAACTGCTAACTGAAGCGACCACTTTTGACTGATAAAACGTAACTCCAACTAATAGAACTATGTTCCATTTAATAACTACTATTCATGCATTGTGTGTCATGATGCTTCTTTCTAAAACTATCAATATATAAAGTTATATAAGGATATAAACTCTAATTCTCTAATAATTTTGCATTGAAATGTTCAAATAAATGAAAAGCAAGCAATAGATAAATATTATTATAATAATATAGAAACTCTGGATAATTTTGCATTGATGTTGAAATAAATAAAAATGAAACAAGTGAAATCATCCCCTCAACTAGAGGAATTAATCTCTGGTCTCAGACTTGGCATGCATCACTCACATTTAAATCTTAAAGCTCTGTTCACATTATACAATGTTAAAATCTAAGATCTAAAGTTCTGTCCAGACAATCACACTGTTGTATGCCCATATATAGTCATGATTTGCCTATATATGGTCATGATGTGTCTATATATAGTCATGATGTGCCTATATATGGTCATGATGTGATGTCATCATGACCATATTTAGGCATGTCACATGTTTTTGTCAAATAAATTTTGATAGTCTGGACAGGGCTTTAGAACAGAGACAGCTCTAGTCCTATATACAGAAACTATCTTGTGGCAATACAAAAATAAATATGAAATATAAAAATATAACATATATAAGATATTGAAGTAGCACTGTAAACAAAATAATATAAACAAAATTATAGAAACAAATATAGGAACAAACTATGTTATGATCATATCAAGAATAACTCTTCCTTCGAAAGTCCCTTATCATTGGTGTATGATAGAGTCCCTTACCTTGACTGCAAGAGACTGCACGTTAATAAAATTTCTCTCTATATCTTTGTATCTTAAACTGCTGGTGTACGGTAAAGTGGCTGTCAGACTCTTCTGCACTGACAAAATATCAACTGCTTTTTCCAAGGTCAGCCTTGGGTAGTTTAAGATCATTTAAATAACATTTTAAAAATTAAATAAAAATAATAATTGTAAATACTGCACAAGCTGTTACAGCACTTTTCTGCAAAAAAAAAAAAGAAGAAAAGAGCTACTGGGACGAAGCCTTCAATTACTGTATAAAGATGACCCACAAGAAGAAGGTATATTTGAGCACTGTAATTATTAGTTACCTGTTTGCACACATACTGGCAGTACATTTTTATCTTGAAATAAAGGTTAAAGCAAAAAGTATAAAATTGCAAGAGGTCTGATTGAACTAATTTTTGCACGCAATGAAACATTAAAAAAGAAAAGGCTACTACGAGATAGGTGGTGCCCTATTTATGAACGCCTTTTACGTTCTTTTGAAGGATGCCCTATAGTTCATGGTAGTACTTTCGGAGATAGGAATAGCGTTCCAATAACAACCCGAGTCGGATCTCCTGCAGTTCTATATTCTTTGGTTAAAAGTTATATACGGTATATACTAGCGTAGGCCTATCGACGAAGCTTAACATACTGTAGCAAATTACGATAAAAAAACAGGGGGTCGTCTTATACGCACAACATACAAATTTTAGATTTTATAAACCATGTTTGTCTTATGTGCGGATTGTTCGTAACATGCGAATTTACTACTGCAATGAAGCTACTAAATGTTACTATGAATGTGGGGAAATATGATTTTGATGAACATTTAAAAACTCATAAAATGGTACTACTGTATTTGGAAGATTAGTCTCGCATGTGGCTCAATTTTTAGCCAGCTAGATGCAGTATCAGGATCACAAAAAAGTAGGAATTCCAACCATGAAACAGGGAGATGCCTTACACGCCCGATATACAAAAAATTGTCCGAAAATCTTCTCAAACTCAGGGGTCGTCTCATGCGCTGGTCGTTTATATGCAGTACCGCACTACACTACAAACCCTCGACTTGATCACAAGCTCGTTGGCATGGCTTTGGGTCATCTGGAATAGTAGTCGAAAGTGGAACGAGGCTGAGGAGGAAGACGTGGCGCTGAAATTGCTTGCTCTCACGGAACATGTTATCGGTGTTGTGTAATCGATCTAGGAAACCCAACACGCCATAATTGTTGGTGAATCTGTAAATAGCATAAAGAACATAGTTAAATAATTTATTACAAAAGCATTTAGTCTATGCCTGCCACCTTTGAGCTTTCGTAGATGACCATGAACCTCTAATCGTGGACTTTGGATTATAATAGCAATGATTTTAAAGAGCACATCCCCACCTAAAATTTGCGTGCTTAATGCATTGTCTTATAAATGCCCCATTTTTAAAATTCCAAAATCATCTTTATTTTCTTTATGCTTTCTTTACAATTATATCTTAATTCTTAAATTTTCATTCTTTTCATCTTTACTTTTCCTTTTTTCCTTTCTGCTTCAACTGATCATATCCGTGCAATGGTGGTGCCAGTGGAAAGGGAGGAGGGAGAAGGCTCGGACCCCTGTTATTCAAAAAAAAAAAAAAAATTCAAAAACTTTTATTGTCCAAATTATATAAAACATACAATTGGAAATTTGTTGTTTGATACACTACGTAAAATAGAAAAAAGTTAATAATCCTTGCCCTTGTCAGATCAAAAATTATAATTTATCTTTCCATTTAACGTTATTTTTGAGTGCCAATCCCTAATATTGTGGAACGAAAGCACAATTTGGGCCATACTAAGCCATAAAAAATCTCCCTGTGAACAGTGGCGGCTCTAGGATATATTTTCTGGGGGGGGGGGGCTAAGTTGTCCGACAGGGGGGACTTGAGCTCGTAGGCTCGAGCTTGGAGAAGGGGTTAAGAGGGGTTCCCCCTCCTAAATGAGATTTTTTTTAAAGAATACCAACATAAAACCGAAAGGTCCACTGATTAATCTCAGATAAGAAAGTATAATACATACTCCAAGTATTGAAATACACGCCATCGTGTTGGGATTCAATATTTCGACATTAATTATGTCATTATCAGGAATCAACATAAGATGGCAGAAAATGGCACTCTCAGACTGTGACAGACATGTGTTGGCTTGGTGTGGGCCTTTTTTTATATGTTTTATGGTTTAAATGCCCGACGAGCTCTGTCCGGCGGGGGAGGGGGAAGCTTAAGCCACCCCGCTGGTGCCGCCACTGCCTGTGAACCCTACCATGGATTTTTAATCCAAGGACCATGACTGACACTCTAGTCACACCTTCTTCTTCTTCAACATTTATTTAACCATAACATAATCATAAAACATAATAAATTTGAATGAGAAATATAAAAATTAGTCAAGTCAAGTCAATCACATTTGTTAAGAACAAAATAATAGATATTGAAATTATGGTTTGGATCAGGTCTAGAAGCGTCAGCTTGTCTCAACCTGACCTATGAATAATAAAATAATAATAAAAATAGTGATAATACAGATAAATTAATCAAATAGATATACCTATATATCACAAACCATAGACCTATAAATCACAAACCATAATTATAAAAGGTTACCAGTCAGAATAATTAAAAAGATACATTTTTTTCATATGATTACTAAAAGTTAGTAAATTATTACAATTTATTAGTTGATCATCCAATTCATTCCATAATTTAGGGCCAGTATAAATAGATTTGTTAGTCTAGAAAACGGTACATCCCTCAGTTCAGACCCCCTCTAGGACATGTCAGATGTAAATTTCTGGGGCCACCACTATCAAAAAGCATTTAACCCCTCGTCGGCCAATATCTAGTATTGGCACTGTACAAATTGAGCATAAACTTTTGTCAATGAATTACAATATTTATGAAAGTTGAAATCTCGTACTTACTTTAAATGGTGGAAGTCGTGTGCTTCTGGCGAGGGCATCAGGGGCAAGTGGTAGCCCGAATGAACATTGACCGTGGTGAATATAGCAAGAGAAAACCAAAGCCAGATGGTCATTATATGACTGCCCATGATGAGAGGGCCTATTACCAAGGGCAAAAAGTTGGATAAAACATGTTCGATTGGGTGCGCGTACAGAGAGACGATGCCTACTGGTGCAGTCCATTCATGATGCTTCTTATGAATGTGTTTGTAGATAGAGGCCCGATGCAGAAATCTAGAAATTAAATCAAAATGGTTATGATCCCATAAAGGCTTTACAGTATCAATCAAATATATGAGGATTGGCATCCTAACATCAGCATACTTTTTCTAAATATTAAACTGAATAATTAGCTTAAGAATGTGGCAGTAATTTACATTTTAGTACATTTTAAAGCTGTGGAGAATGTGGAGCCATTGATGCTGGTTTTACTGTATATGGTCGTGATGACATCACATCATGGCCATATATAGGCACATCATGACTTTATATGGGCATACCTATGTGAATAATAGAAAGCAAATTCCTCAACAATGACAAACACAACCAGATCAAGCAGGACTCTCTGAAAAGTTGGAAGGTGCGACGAGAAGATGTTGGCCCTGGCAACCATCAACGGGTAAATCAGAGCCGTCAACGGGATACTGAGCACCTGGTTACGCAACACCACTAGACACGCCTCCTTCAACCGGGTTTTGTCAACCTAATAATGTACAAGTTTATAATTTTTAAAAAATTGGATGTTAGTAACTTTAGATGAAATATCCTCATACAGTGATGTACATAAAGATTAGGATTATAATAGTAATTATATTATGGAAAACAAAGAAATGCAGATAAATAAACAATACTTTTCTGTTTAGGCCACTTAGAAAAAATTATGATCACTTTTAAAAAAAATGATAAGGGAGGGAGGTTATTTTTTTCTTTTTTTTAATCAGAACAAAAGATTATTTCACTTTTGTTTTTATTGATGAAGGAGGGTCTGTTTATATTTGGCTAGTAATAGTAAATATTGTAAAAAAAAGGTTTAACTTTATAGTTTTTTAAAGAAAATGTATTTGAAGTCAAAAAATTGCATTGTTATTTTTATGCTGTTGAAATAATTGATGCAGTAAAAAATTTGTTTATTCTCGCATCAGTATTTGTGATGTGGGTGGGAATGATAATCTAATAAATTTTTCTATTTGCCCTTACAAGCTGTCAATACTAGGCCGTCCCCCAACCCAGAAAGAACTGGCTAGCTCAATAATTACCATGGGGTGATATCAATGGCCTTAAATCAGCTAGTCTTAATGACTAGATGATCATAGCCAGCTTCACCATATAGAGCAGACAGTGCTATGGAATTTACTCCTGTAAAAGATCATTCCCAAAGGAACAGTCTGCATCGTTTTGTGGGAAGCTTTAATATTCATGATTAACAAGTCTAATAGCACCTTACTGATAATAATAGTATACAGAGCTGTAGGTCTACAAAGGCTTGTAATTTTTTATTACTCACTGGCACATTTTTATCTTGTTGAACTTTGAACTTATAGAAAATGCTTTTCTTTCCTTTGAGGTCTGTATACATCAACAGCGCATTCAATGGCCAGAAAACCAATATTGTTAAAATAAACTGAGAGCCTAGAAAAAAAAATACAATTTAAACATACAGAAACCTTGGAAAAAATGTATAAAACCTTAGGACACGTAGAAAAAATTATTAGATCATCACTGTTTTTTTAAAAAAATTTTAATTGGAATAATAGAATATTGCTTTTTTTTTAATGACGAGGGAGGGACTGTTTTTATTTGGCAAAAATGTTGTAAATATTGTAATTTATTTCCATCCACGAAATTGCATTGTTTTTTTAAGCTGTTGAAATAAATGATGTGGCCAAACAAATTTTTTTTTTCATTCCCGCATCAATATTTCCTAAATTTTCGATGACGGTGGAAGTGATGATAATCTAACAATTTTTTCTATGTGCCCTTAAAAACAGATATTGTTTAAAAAACTTACATTTCAAAGCTACAAATACCTTTTCCCCTGACTATGATTCATAGAGGAAATGGCAAGATTACAGCAAAGGCTATTTCTAGATTAAAAGTTCTTTTCAACACAGGAATTTACAAAACAATGGTGATAATTCTGTATGAAAATCCAAATAATACTAATACATGAATTTTTGAACTTGAATTATGTAGACCCTGGAATTTTCATAAGCCCTTCAGTACCAAGGGACTGGTAGACACTTGGAGACACATGAATTTTTGAACTTATAAAATGAATTATGTAGACCCTGGAATTTTCATAAGCCCTTCAGTACCAAGGGACTGGTAGACACTTGGAGACTGGTATTCTTTCCTGAGAAATGTACTGTGCAGTAGCAGGAGGGAAGGGCTTAGCCCGTCTGGGCCCCTCTATTTCGAATTCCTGGATCAGCCACTACTGTGTTCACACAGCACATGGGATTATAGGCTTCACTAGATGCCGCAAGACTGCACCACCACTGAAACACACAAGGAGTTTCAGTGGTCTCACTATTTTACCATTACCATACTACTGTACATTGTAAGATTGCAGTCAAGCAAAAATTAAAAGTACAGCAAAACATTTCCTTTGTGCAACCTTATTAAGGGGATACTTTTTGGGGAAAGATAAAAGAAAATTTTGTCTCCAAACGCTACGATCAACCCCTATTTGGGGAACACCCCATCCTTAAGGGGGACAATTTCTTTGGTCCCGAAGGTGTCCCTTAATAGAGATTGATTGATTGATTGCTATTAGGGAGTTTTTCAAAGCTTACGAACACGATAACAAATACGGTTTTACGTCATCAAATTTTAAGAAAACCCTACAGTAGCTAGCGTATTTGCCACAACGTAGATAATTCATGCTTTTTGCATGAATTAAGGATCATATCACCTCCATAATCATATGGAGCTTGCACAGCATATTGTCAATTTTTATAAGGTTGCAAAACCTCCCTATTTAAAGTAGTGGACCTTTCCGCTAAGCCCTGCCTCCTTGGGTATTGTTGCTAAGGTCTTGCATGCTTATTAAACATGTGTGCATTCCCAGCGCCATTCTGATTGGTCAGTTAAGATTGATTAACACTTTTGAAAAGGTCAATTTAAATATGACATCAGTTATTCTTACCAAACACAAAGGTCACAAAGTTGCTTTTGCCACACAGCCAATGGCAGGAGAACCAAATCGTTTCCCAGAAATTCTTGGATGATCCCCAGAACTGTTGCAGGTGCCACGTTAAGGAATTGCGCATACATGCTAAGATGATCAACGACGAACCAATCACGATGATGGCGCTCTTAACAGAATCCAACGAACGAGAGAATCCACCAGCCTGTTGGCAGAAAATTATTTATCCAATTCATAGTTTAAACTACAGTGCATGTCCGTATCTATATGTTATGTCGATTGACATTAATATGGGCATATGCAGTTTAAATTGGCGTTTAAATTACGAATTAACTTTAATATTAGGCAAAAAAAAAATTGTTTTTTTGCCCTCCGCACCTGCCCCTAACTCACTGGGAAAAATAGGGGCGGAAAAACAAAAACAAAACTTCAGAAAAGTTTTTTTTTTTAGCTTTTTTCTTAACAAATTAAAAGAAATATGAGTGAATTTATCTATATTTTTTGCCTGATGCTCTACAAATTAGTCTAAAGGTGTTGTCTGATCTAAGATATTGCCATTCTAGGCCTCTGTGTTTTTATTCCATCTGATCAGGGGAAGATTTAGAGGGGGGCTAAACAGGCTTTAGCCCCCCCCCCCCTAAAATTTCATAGCCATTTCTATTATTAATTTATTTACATATATTCTTGTTATAATAATGATTTACTATAAATATTGTTTAGCATTTACGGAAATAAATGTTGTTTAATGAATGAATAATTACTGTATTTAAATCCACTTGCACTTGACAACAACAACTAGGCATCAGTTATTATTTTTAATGGTGTCTACCACATATTTCTTCTTTAATGATATACAGATACTAAATAAAAGCTCCATTGTACAAGTATATTTATTCAGTTTGTTTTCAACGTAGTACTATCAGATTGTTGTGAAAGCTTAATGCAGTCACTATAACAATATTCGAATTTCACAAATTTTGACTTCTGGAGGAATTCAAAATCCAACCACTCTTCTGTACATACATACACACACACATATACATACATACATACATACATACATCTAATAGCTAAAGCGTTCAGCTACCCCTCTGAACCCCATCTTATCGGAC